CTTTTGGTATCCCTTGGATACAAAGAATTGCTAAAAAAAATTTGCAGGGATGAACATTACGGAAATGTTGCAATTAACGCTGACAAGGCTAGTGATATTGATCTTAAAGTAATATATGCCGTTTTAGTAACAACTCAGATTTTATGTGTAAATTGGAAAACATCTACATGAAAGGATTTAATAGTAGTATGAAATTTTAACAAGATAATCATTTGTCTTTTATTTATTTATATGTATGCATATTTTTTTTTTTAATGAGTTATGAATTAATTTTTAAACGTATAAGTGACAAAGAATTGGTTACAAAATACATGATCTCTATTTCTAAAAATCCTTTCTAGTTGCATGTTCTTCAATGTAAATTCTGCTACTGTTATTAAAATTACACTATGTTGAATGTATTGGTTTGCACTAAGGTAATTTAGGAAACTGATACAATCTAGAGTTAAACTAAGCATTGTACTGCCTGTGATAACTTATCAACCCTTATTCGCATAATCGAGCAGTTAATTTGAACAATTATATGCTATATAAATTATATATACATAGATGATCGCATATAATTTGTTAACGCTGGTTCATAAAATAGTATCGGTAAAAGTATGAGGATTGAAAATTATTTATGAATTCTCTTATATGATCTTGTTCAAATTGTCAGAAAAAGGAGGTATGTGATAGGAGGGCACGTGCGAATAGACATTTTTGTCTCGCATAGCTCAGAAAATGTTCCAGTACCTTATACATATATTCTCTGTGATATTAGTATCTAAATTTTTGTCAAAAGAGGTACATACATATTACAAAAGCTAGCATATTTACACATATTTTTCAAATTATGAACTTGAATCGTAATGTTTTATGATAAATATCAGTTTTATTTACATAAGCTCATGATATCAAAACATAGATTACACTTCGACTCGGATCCATATGTAAACACTGAGTCTTATACATATTTGTAGCAGCATAAGTATTTTTAATACTGTATCTCATAATATTACGTTTTCTTTTAATACCATTATAGTGGTATAATTGTATTTGCTTACAAAGAATGTAATTTCTGTGTACGCGACACAAGGAAATATTTTTTGAAAATAACACAAGTATCTATGTTCACTTTCTTTTTTTTTAATTCGTTTTATTTCTATATTGTTGGGTGAATAATTTTATCATTTGCATGCATATAAGATATTATTTGTATGTTGTACATAATGCTATTACGTTATGAAATATACAAATAATCAAAAAAAAAGTGAGAGAAGAAGAGAGAAGCAAGGAAAAGTGTATACAACAAGGACCTGCTCGGAGATTCTGGAAGCTACCCAGCTGATTGACAGATCTGCATGGTTTCTGAATCAGGTGAATTCAGGGCCAAATCAACATTTGTAACATAAAAAAATACATTTTCTTTTGTCTATTTTTCAGTACTTGACGTGTAAAGTGTTACAGTATACACTTTCCAGACCAAAGAAACTATTGAAACAAAAGAGATACAAAAAAATTTAGAATTATGTTATATACTGTATTTATTTATTTAATAGTATTTGTATGGTTTAGTAATATTTTCGGTGAGTAAATCCATGTACTTTTAATATTTGAGCGAGAATACAATCAATATAATTACACATTTTTCATTGTATTCAGAATATAATTAAAATT